GAGCGCCTATTAGTGAAGTTACTTGTCCGATATTTTGGAATGTAGAATCACCAAAAAAGTTTGGTACAAATCTGTACCAGGTTGGTCGTCCCCTTGTAAATGTAAGTGTACTATCACAGGTTGTACCAATAAAAAGTTTACAAACAACAAAGCGCATAAACCGGGATGAGTGTTTTGATAGGTGACCGTTTTTCTTCCAATCTAACGACAAATACATTTTCCTGCAATCTTACCTCATCCGACAATGTAAATTCTAACATTTTCTTTAAAAAATCTTTATCACCGAGGATACCCAGTGACAGGAATTCTGCACTTTTCTTCCTCTAGATTTACATATCTGTGCAACTTGACCAGGCTATTGTAAGTGCCTTGATTTCCGACAGAAAGAATTGTTTTTATACATGAGAGCTTGAGGTTGGTAGGAAGTAATATAGTAATAGTATAATAATATTTTTAAAAAACTGAAAAATTGTTTGTGTCAAATAAATTACTGATCTATATTAGTTTCTAATAAAACCAGGGAATACTCGTTAAAGCGAAAACTTTTCATCGTTCGTTGTGAACATTACATTGCAGAGATTGGAAGTTCATTTTTGTTAAATCGCCATCAATTAGAAACGGGAGAGCGCGTACGCGCCCGAAATATCCGCATTTGGGATATTCGCAGAGGTCAGCCAAGCCGTAGTGCAATGGGAAGGCCTCACCCTGGGAACCGCCTTAGTGATCACGGTAACCCCGACGCCAGGTAAGTATGCTTTAAATTGGATATAGCGGGGCTCATATAGCTAGCTCTATAGTTCGACGCAGCGAGAAGTACGGTAAAAAACACGTTGCAATTATCAATTACATCATTGCAACATAAAACAATAATTATTATTAATCGATTTCGAATGATTTTCCTTATGAGTTTTGTCGTTTTTCTATTGAAAATAAGTCTGAATAAATATCTTCAAATCATAAAATGGAAGATTATTGCTCTGATATATTGGTACATTATATATCTCTTTACCTCTAGATGGCAGGTCGTTTGATCTTTCTTCTTCAAGCGTTCACCGTTGGCCGTTTCGCATATGAGCGGGAGTTTTGAATAATTTAAATTAATGTACACTTAATAATAGAATATTTATTACAGTAAAACAAATTAATACTTTAATTAAAAGCAATGTTTAACTAATTCAAGTGAGTCATAAATATACTACTTCATTCAGAAAATTGTTATTGCAAATATAAACATAAAGGCTTAAGGAGACGACCTTTTTCCGTATTAGGCCGGCGCCACACTAGACGTAATTGGACGCAAATTTCCGCTGTACAAACTTACATTCAAAACACACAGACTGAACGGAAATTCCGTAATGGAAATTTCAGTCGTAATGTCTCCGTCGAAGGAATGTTCCGCTAGATTCTATCTAAACAGATCAAAGTAGTTGGGGTGCGACACACTGACAACGGACAACCATCGAACGGAAGAGGCAAAGTGCAAGTGAAGCTGATCTAGGACCTCCGCATGTCTGTAGCCGCCTTTAAGGTCGATTCATATCTACCAGCACAAGAGCGAGTCCAGCACGTAGCGTGGCAGACAAGGCACAGACACTAATATTCATATTATGCGGTAATCACAGCAACAGACACCTACAGACCAACAAACTATTCTTCAGAAAACCAATGGACTGGATTCTTTCCAAGTCCATGTATTACAAATTACGTACATTTCATCACATATATTATTATTATTCTTATAATATTATTATTTATATTCTCATATGTTATTATTATGTATATTTTGTAAAATAAAATTTTAAAAAATTCTTGAATATGTACTGATCGGTGAATCGGATTTTAGCCCGAATTCGGATTTGCGCGTTCGATTTACCAAGACTGGACATTATAATTAAAATTATAATGAAATTTATTATAGGTAGGCACCTAAGCTATTGGAATTGCACAAATCTTGTCTGTCGTCTATTCATACTAACCGGTATTGAACCGCACAGACAAGAAAAGACAACCGCAGACACGTGCCAGCACAAGCAAAACATTCTCGGCGATAATGCTGCCCGGTGCTGGTACGTGTCTGCACTGACACGCTCCGCAAACGTTCGCTAAGTATGAACGTTCCTATATGTTTTGTATGTAATGATGTTTTTGTGTCTGCCACGCTACGTGCCGGACACGCTCTGTGCTGGTAGATATGAATCGACCTTTAAAGGTATGTACAGTTATAGTTGATTCTCAATGTGTGGATGGTTTGAGTGCGGTTATTCGTGCCCTTTGAAGCGGACAAGAAAACACAAAAAGCCGAGCACCGATGTTGTTATTCCGCGAATAGCCGAACGTCCCTCCGCACTAGTCGGGATTCGGCGAAAATTTGCTCGGCGAATACCTTATGTCTGGAGCCGCCTTAAACTTTTAAGCGTAAAGGTGGCCATTCACGATCACTCCAAATGGAACCGCGCCAAGCCGTACAGCTCCATTTGGAGTGCCTGAAATTTGAGGGGCATTCACGACCGCTCCACAGCCAGTCGCTCCGAACGTCAACCAGTGAATTACCTTCTCAAAATGGATGACGATCTCTTGTGCTACTCTTCTGTTTATTTACATATTAAAAGCAAAAAATCGAAGAGGAAATGGTGTAAGAAGTGGCTCCTGAACAGAAGCCGTAATACCCACATCAATTTGATGAAAGATCTTTCCCTTGAACCCGCTGATTGGAGGAACTATTTAAGGATGGATGAAACGTCTTATTTATTCATTATATTTAGTGTTCTATTGACCAAATTACTTCTTTCAATTATTTAATCTTTTTTGTAAGGTTTTGGTTGAAATGAAAAAGCTAGTGCCACGAGCGGGATCTGAATCCATGGCCTTCGGCTAAATACGCCGCTGCTCTACCACTTGAGCTATCGTGACTTCGATCCTCTCCGACACCAAAAAATGGCAAAAAGAGAGAAAATTCGAAAGGTTGTAGGTTGAGATGGGGAGTTGGTGCCCGAGTGGATCGAACTATCGAAGTCAGGATAGCTCAAGTGGTTAGCGCAGCGGCGTATTTAGCCGAATGTCGTGGATTCGAATCCCCTCGTGACACTATTTTTTCATTTCAACTAAAACCTTAAAAAAAAAGATTAACGTCTTATTTATATTTACTCCAGCTTGTTACCCCCTTGATTAGAAAACAAAAGACAGTCATGAGAGAATCATCACTATATGAAAGGTTGGCAACCACATTACGATTTCTCGCTACAGGGATGAACTACAAAGAACTTAAGTTCTCTACTACGATTTCTGATCATTGTTAGGGGTTATCAATACTCTCATTGCATTTGTATCCTTTGTTTTGAAAACATCGACCAACTGGTTGAGGATCGAATTTCTTTTATTTCTATCGTGGTAATATAATCATTGTCCACCACTTTCATAAACATGGTACACTTTCATACAATTCAATCACCTCAACAATAAAATCTCGATTGGATGTCATTACCAATAAAGAATAAACGTTTTTGACTTTTTGAGAATGTACGACGGAGATGTTTGCTCAGTGACAGAAAGACGGAGACTGCGCCAAAAAAAGAGGGTTTTCCCATTCACGACCAGGCCACCGCGCCAAAATCCCCACCCTCCACGCCAGATTTTCCCATTCACGAACGCGCCATCCGTCGTCGCGCCGTAGATATTTAGAGGGGCGCGATGGAGTTTGGACCGGCCGAATATTCGGCACAGCCGGGCACGCCAGTTCAGTTTTGCCATTGACGTGGTTTTTGGAACGGCATCGCTCCGTTTGGACTGCTTGGAGCGATCGTGAATGGCCACCTTTAATCTTTATAGGTGTGGATCTAGCTTTACAAGAAAACCCGGTTATTAAATCCAGTCTGTGTGTATGGCACGAATTCAATTACATGTTTGTTTAAATGTGGCAGTATCAGGATCTCAAAAATCTGGAAAGAAAACTATCAGGCTAATTGTACAGTGGCTGTGTGCGTTGTTCTTGGGCTTCCCTGGTTTATGAATCACTGTTACTGTTAAGGCCCTGGTTGTTCGCATTCAGCAAAAATAGAAGTATAATGAAAAAATAAAAGGAGGGGATATAACTTTGAAGAAGCTATGACGCTCTTTCTCCTGCTCGTTCCAAACAGCCAGGACGGGGAGATGCAGCCACCTAAAATCTACCCTAAAAAGGCCAAAGTAACGAAAATTGAACTAAACCTTACCTACCTGAAGGTCTCCGCCCATGTCGGTGATGCAAAATATGCGGACTGAGGGCTCTTGGTGCGACACTAGCGTAACTTCGTTCACGATATTGCCTTGAGAGCAACGTGCGAGAGGAATGAGGTAAATGTGGGTCGTAAGCCACTCACTACATGCAGGATTTCAAAAGGTAGCTAACTGAGAAACATCGAAAATTCGGATCTAAACCGTTCCGAAGCAAGACTCGAGACACACTTAAAAAAATGGCGTCGGAGACTTGAGTATGAGTAAAAACGGACGGAGTGGTGCAAGGTGGGAGGGTAAAAGTGTTAAGGGACTGTAAACTAAATTTAAAATCGCATGTTTTCAGGCTCTCAGGAATATAAATTCGAGAAGCACGCTCTAATCGAAATTTGATGCATTAGCTAATGGTGATTTTCCTAGAATTTCGGCCGACCTGATCTTAATTTGCTTTGGTTAGAACCGGGTTTTTTAGTTTAGTACAACGCATGAAATGAGCATAGTGCGTTAAATTTGTCCATCAGAGTAACTAAGAGTTACAGTTCAATGCTGGGAAACGGAATCGCTTCCAACTCAGGAACCAAGAGAGCGGAGAGTCGAAGTCACTCGTCAAGTGGTGGTAAGGAAAAAATTCAAAATTAAACGGCGATCGCTGAAGCTTTTTTTTTTCAAAGTGGTTCATCACTTTTTTGAACAGCTTACTTGAGGAGCCCCATCATAATTTCCAAAGCTGCAAAAGTGACAAAGACAAGAAAATATAAAAACAAGAGTCGATTATTTGAATCGATTCTTTTGAAACGTCGATCTTTGAAATCCGATCGACTTCGTTAGTGTAACCTTTCTGCGTCTCTGTCTCGTTTCCTCTTAGCTCGTGTAAGTTCCAACTGTACTTTTTTATTGAACTGCATCCGTTTTAATTTCCTTTCTTAACAAAACTGCCCCTTTTTATATTATTCTCCAGGTTTATTATATTTCGAAAAATTTCATGCGATTGTTTTAAAATTTGTCTCAATTTTTTCAGCTGTGAGTCGAGGCTTCTAACCTAAACATGGTACGTAAATTTCCTTGCTCGATTTTCTCTTCGTTGATAAAAATTCAATACTAGTAATGAAAATAATACATTTTTGAAAGAATATCAAATGAATTTAAAAAAAGAAATAACGTGGTATTTATTGTATTGTAATTTTACTGAAAACATTGGTTTTTTTAAAGTGGTTCTTTTTTGTTATTAGCCGAAAGAGATTAAAGAAATTAAGGACTTTCTGCTGAAAGCCAGGAGGAAGGACGCCAAATGTAAGTTTTTTAAATTTAACATTTCTTAGGGAATTTCTTTAATTTCAGAGGTCAAATTGAGCCTAGGCTGACAACACTAGATCTAGTAAAAACAATGTTTTATATATTTTTTCATTTCATTAGAGAAGTATTTTAAAGTGGTGCGATCCCTTCTCAGCTGTTCTCAGTCGATAGCTGGATGTAAAATTTGATTTAACAGATTCAATGCAGGACCAAAATCTGAGACCTACGGGTTTGTTTTTTTTTTTCCATGAAATGATGTCGATTTTATATAGGTTCAAATTAATAGCAAATAATGTTTTGTAGCTTGCAAGTGTATTTTTGTAGTGCAACTCTATACTGGAGGCAAACTTAAGCGGCAAAATCTGACCCACAACTCAACGTACTTTGTCTAATCCCTTTGTCGTGATTCATCTGTTGAGTTACAATTTATCTAGAAATTCCAAAACAACATGTTGGCTGGGCAACCTATCAGCTTCCTAATTCCCTTCCTTGAGTTAGAGAATAGCCATTTCGATTCTGCAGGTTTGATCTCCTTAACAAACTCCTATTGCCTGTGTCCGGGCGATAGATTCCATTCCTTAAGGAATTGTTTCATACCCCATTTTTAATACTTTCTTTTGCTGTGCTCATAGAGTGAGGTAATGCCGGTTGTGGCCCAACAAACGCAGTATTAGAGCCTTCTTTGGCCAGGCTATCCGCCTCTTCATTGCCATAATGTCCTTTATGTGCTGGTATCCAAATAAGGGTAACCTTGTTCTCAAACCTGGAAGGGATTCTATTGGTAGATCTACAGTTTCCTCCACCAGTCTAGATGTTGACAAATCTTTTTGTAATGACCTAAGACTAGCTTGACTGTCAGAAAAAATTCTAATATCTTTTCCCTTGATTTTATTTTCTATAAGTGTTCTACAACACACATTAATGGCCCAGATTTCCGTCTGAAAAACGGAGGTATTATTGCCAAGAGGGGAGGAGATACCTAATTTAGGTATATGGATTCCAGCACCACTTCCTTTACCTTTGATAAGTGAACCATCTGTATAGCATTCTATGTTACGATGGTCATCATCCACACTATAGCATTCTCAAGGAATGACTACCTGAAAATTCTTTTTCCCTGAAGAGGTTTTAACCTTTTTATCGCTAATGCTTAATAATTGACCGTTAATCTTACTCAATAGTTGTAGGATTTTCGAGTGACCTTTGTTATTGCACTTATGGTTCCAGCTGCCTTCACTAATTATTCTGTAGCAGCTGATTAGTGCTCTGACCTTAGCCTCTATGTGTAGAGGTGTGGTATTGGTTATGATTTCAAGTGTTAGGGTGGGTGTAGTTGAAAATGCTCCTATCATCATCAAACAGCCTAGTCTTCGAAATGACCTTAATTTGTTAATATTCCCTTTATTTTCTAGACCTTTCCACCATACTAAAGCTGCGAACAATGATCTAGGTAGAATAATTGCAGTATATATCCATTTGGCTACCCATGGTTTGAGACCCCATGTTTTACTGACAATTCTCCTACATTGTGCCATAGATATTGTGCCTTTCCTGTATATATTAATATGACCTTTCCAAACAAGTTTCCTGTCAAGCATCACACCAAGGAATTTGATTGAATCCACTAATTTTAATTCTATGCCCTGAAATTGAGGGTTTTTAAAATTACCTAATGTTCTTCTCCTAAGCATTATCAATTCCAGTTTAGTTGAATTAATTGATAAACCTTTAACACAACACCACTCAAATAGCAATCCCATGGCATCTTCCATCAGTAATGAAAGAGTCAGGGGATCCCTACCTGTGAACATTATGGTGACCATTATCTGAAAGTAATTGACTGTAGAAACTTGAATTATTCAGAAGTTTTATTAAACTGTTTACTGAAATCAACCATAAATGAGGTGACAAGCAACCTCCCTGTGGACAGCCTGCTTTACATTAATAATGAGAGTGCTACCACCTAAGCACAATTGACAATCCTTCCCTCCAAGTAGGTCTTCACCCATCTAGTAAGGTGATGGTCAACATTGTAGTTATCTAGTGTTGATATAATGCATGAAGTATCAGCATTATCAAACGCCCCTTGGATATCGAAGAAGAAACCCATTGTATATTCATTATTAAGTAATGATTTCTCAATCCTGCCTATCAGTGAATGTAAAGCAGTTTCCACTGATTTCCTGGTAAATAGGCATGCTGACTGATTGGGACGTATCATAGTATTAATTCCACAATCATGTCTAATATATTTATCTAAAATTTTCTCTATTATTTTTATGAAAATAGAAGATACTTATAGGCCTATAAGATTTAGGTAATTGATTATTTCCTTCCAGCATTTTGGTATGTGTCCCAATGCCAGACTACTGTTTAGGAGATTCCAATCTCTGTTCTAAATAGACTAGGTGTATCCTGTTGAAGGAGGGCAGGGAATATTCCACCCACCCTGGCTGTCTTGTATTTCTTGAAGGAATGTCCGCCCATTTGTAGGCCTCCCAAGAAATTAGCCTCATTAGCCTTAGCCCAGTTTGGTGTTGGTAATTCAACCTCGGCTAGAATAGAGGAAGAGTCGTCTGACCTGGGGAAATGAATTCTAGCCATCAGGTTCAGGGTCCCCTCACAGGATGTGGTGTACACCCCATTATCATCCTGTAATAAAATAAAGGATTAATATAATCCTTTTCCAGAAGTTTAAAAATACGAGAATTTTCCTTAGTAGTTTCTGTTTCCAAACAATAGTTCCTCCAGGCTTTACGCTTAATTTTCCTTAACTCATTTTTATAATCTTTCTTCAAGGAGAAATAATCCCTCCAGTGCAGTTCAGAGTTCCACTGTAGGGCTTTTTTGTGTGATGCTCTGACCCTTTTCCTTAAACAAAAGCCAGGTCTTTATTCCACCAGTGATGTCGATTCTGACATAGTATTTTTTCAGGGCATGCTTCTACATATACAGAGTTTATGACCTGTATAATGTTGTTAGCAACCTGCTCCAGCTCTGTTACGTTAGTAGGAGCAGGTATGCATCCTGTATATTATTAATAGTATTAACATAGGTTTCCCAGTATATTAGTTTTGGATTCCTAAACATTATTTTATTAACTTCTCCTGAGATTTTAAAATCAATGATCAAAGATCGTTGAAAATCAAAGTCAGATCAATGATCTGAGGAGATATTACCTGGTGTCACCTTCCAATCCGTTACCCAATTAACAATTGGCAGAGAGGCTAGTGGTACATCCAATACTTCCCTTCTATTTTTTGTTATAAAAGTGGTGGGAGTATTGCCTACATTCAGGATGGATAAATTTTTACTCAATATAAATTCCAAGAACGTTATACCTCTCACGTTATTGTCTGTGCTACCCCATGCTAGGTTATGTGCATTGACATCACAGCCCAGAATAAGACCTATATTATTATCGTCACAATATAAGTTCCTTTACTGCCTCAGTTGGGCAATCCTCATCAGCATACACTTGCCAGATATAAAGTTTTGTGGTTCCCCCTTCTCCTGAAATCAATTGATATTGTAATGATATCCCTAGAACAAAACTTGGTTATAGGAATTGGTCTTAATTCCTTATGGGCCACAATACATGCTTTTAGATCCTGAAACAGTTCAAAATTATTATTTTTTAAACCGATTGCTAGACCCCTATAGGTGTAGGGTTTCTGTATTAGATAAATCAATGTTTGCAGCATAGTCATGGCCCTACCGATTTCGGCCGTGGCAATATTACTGTGCTGCATATTAATTTGTGACACCCTGAGGTCTCATGAATAATTCATGATACACTCGGAGTGAGTCACTTAAATGAGAAGGGGACGGTTTAACCCTGATTCAGAAGGGAAATCATTCGTGTATAAGAGAAACAATTCAGTAATTTTTCTCCTTATTTTCTAAAGTATAAAGAAATATTACTTTTACCATAAAGACAAACTGACAAGACTTATTTTTAATTTAGAAGCAAATTATTTAGAATAAAGGTCAACTTACTTTAGAGCCATGTTGAAATTTGATATTCATTTGTAGTGCTATCTACCGATTTAAGGTTAGAGATAAGGGAACAATGGTCACACTTAAGATGCTGTTCTGAACCGTTCAAGCCCTACAGGGGCATTATACAACTTTTCTAACTAAAATATGGGAGGGGGCACCTGTATCTAGCAGGAGCCTGTCTTGAATCCGCTATGAAGTCCCCTCATTGAATCTGTTAATATTTAATTTTTCCTCTCATCCATTTTACTTTGTCTTAGTACGCTTTATGATCTTCTTTAATTAAGTACATACTTACTACATATAAACACGTAAGGAAATGTTCAATAGTAATCTTTACAAGATGATTATTATTGCAGGTGTATTTGATGCAAACTCAAAAATCTTACATTTAGGGAAATTATGACTGAGTATGAGAGTTATTTTAAACTCCCTCTTCAGTTAAGCAGAGTAAATGTTAATTGAATAACTAAAAAATCACTTCTTCAAAATATGAAAAATTGAGTGGCATGTATAAAATAGATTATACTTCTCCCTTATCTTTTCTCAACTGCTTACAATGAAATGACTTATAAAAAAAATGTAAAATAAGGGTGCCTCTGAGATCAAAGCATCTCCAGTGAACCTTTAGGAGATGTTGATGGTGACTAGACTACAACCCCTCTTCAACAAAGCCCTGTGCACAACATTAAAGATTAAGAAGCATTAGTTGTGAGAGATCTGTGGGGTTCGGTTCTTTCCAGGCCTGGGGTTGCAGGGGGCTTTGCTTTGATGGAGCAGGGCTGCATCACGTACTTGTACAAACTTAAGGCTTAATGACAATAAGGTTGCAGCCTTCAAAAAAAAAAAATTCAAACTTGTTTTCTCAATTTTTAAGAGAGATATTTATAACAGACTACCTTCTTTTGTTTTGTTTTTTTCTCTCTTTCTTTCTGGGGAATGGTATATGTCTAAATATCTTTTTTCGGCAGTCTATCTGTCAATGAATGACACCATGACTATGCAGTAAGATATGTATTTTAAAATTTCAGCTGTCAAGATAAAGAAAAATATGGATAACGTCAAATTTAAAGTGAGGTGTTCAAGGTTTCTTTACACTTTGGTAATCAAGGATAAAGAAAAGGCAGAAAAATTAAAGCAATCTCTTCCTCCAGGTATAATATTCAAATAATAATAATCTGAACTATGTTACAAGTATAATATTTTCGTTGTGTTTCAGGTCTCCAAGTAAAGGAAATCAAATAATTTTTTTATGTAAACAATAAATTTTAATTTTACATATATTATATTCATTTCAAAAACCCAGGATTGCACTCTTATCAAGAATAGCTAGTATATTTCATCTCTTGTTCCAATGACAGCCCTCATGGAAAATATCAAACAGAATGGTTAGGAATTTTCTGAATGCTGAGACCTGATCCATCGTCGGCCTTGGATAAATCACTTCAATCAGAGTAAGAAGGAACGCGTTGATGATCAACTAAAATTTACAATAAACATTTTTGAAATCTAACATGTTTTCATTACATAAAAAAAAGAGATAAGAGAAAATATTGCTCCCAAAGAACAAAATATAACCAGGAAAAATGTTAACTGTCATTAAATCATGCTGAAATAAGGATGTGACATTGATCTTTTGTTATGTTATGTAGATATTATATAATATGCCTTAATCTATATTGATCTTTTACTCTGCCCTGCAAATATTTTCTTTACCTCATAAAGTGATGATGAGAAATTGTACTTTTGGTGTAACATTCCTGCTTTGTGAACGAGTTGGTTGCCCTCATCCTGTTTTGTAAGATGGTTAACTACTTGAGAAAGGAACGCCATACCTAGTCTGCCATGTTTCATGAGTTGTTTGTGTTTTAATATTTTGTTGATGGACACCCTTTTCTTTACAATGTTTTCTTTCAGGCGGTAACAACTATAAAATGCGTCAGAAATTACTCTTGGGGGGGGGGGTCGATTGGGGAATTAATTTACTCACTTGATAATTATTGTTGTGGCGAGGGTTTCAGTATTTCTTTTAATCGATGACCACATATTTTGAACAATCTGCACTTCCTTGTTGGTAAGGTTGTGGAATGACTGTATCGGTTCAGCTTTCAGTTGGTACGGTGCTTGTAGCCTTTTTCTTGCTTTAAACTGAAAAATGGTATATAGCCTGAATAGCAAAAGCGGAATGTAATCGTATTAGATGTTTTAAAATCGTCCATCTGGTATGGTGAAAAGGCTCTACAATTAAGCATTCAAGCAACCTAACCTTAGTTCGTCAGGTTTCAGGGTACTCTATGTAATGCAGAGGGTCTGCCCTCATTCCCACTAATAAAACAGTCATACTGATTATACCCTTTCATACTATGTGTACAGCTAAAAATTGGGAAGTGATGGGTATAAATATTATGCCCGTTCCTCCCCCCTTTCACTCCAAAAACACCTAACTATTTAGTGGGTCAGTTGAATACTAGATATTCCACTACCACCACCCATACTCAACATCCTAATAAATACATTCATTTAAGACACAAAACAAAGAAAAATCCTAACCTAGTTTGGTGGGTCTGTGGGGTTCTCTATATTCTGCCACAACCCACCCAGACATACTCAACATTCATTTCAGTTAAGAAAACCGCATGTGGAAGAAAAGCATCAAATGTGGCCATATATATTTATTTGCTTCAGGTATTCGATGAATTGCCACATACCGTTCCGTGTGATGTCGATTGTTGCCGTCGAACATTATATGTTTAACATTTACTGATGCGCTGCACAGGGAAGCATTCATTGTTATCTCATGAAATTGTAATCAAGTTGGTTGTCTAAGTTTAAACTTTTGATACCAAAAGATAAGTAAAGATGATAACTGTACAATGTTAACATAATGAAGGTGAAAATGAAAACTATGTAATTTTCAAACTCTACAGATGCTTTGAATGTACTGTACAGTAATCGCATACAAGCATTAAGAATTAAATTAACATATTACATACATAGTTCATTGGGTCTTCTTCAAATATTTTATCAGGAATTCGTGACATTTCAACCCTATTAGGTGCTTCAAAATTGTTACTTAATTCCGGAGTAGGTAATGACTCAGTACTAATGCATTTCTCTATAAACTCCGGTTTTCCTCCTCTAACGTTATACGATATGGCAGTCTCAATATTTGGCATCGGCTTGACACATTTTTTCCACAATTTATTGTAGTGGGGCTCTTCATCTTCACTGACACCAACAACCTTTGGCTTAATGATCAATTGTGATTCCAGCTTTTGTAGAAAAAGCTTTTGCTTGAAGTAAGACATTTTTCTGAGCAGTTCAAGCAGCCTACAGACGTCAAACCGCTCACCATTGATGCATACTTCTTTTTCCCCCGGTTTGGTCTTGTGTAGTGCTTTCCTAAGGACAGACTTCAGTGTTTCATCAGTGGTTTCTCGCCTGCCCATTCGGAATGCTTCTAGACTAACTGAACTAGGAAAGTCGAGCAGCAGCTGGTAGTAATCTCGCGGGGTGTGTCTAATTTTTACGCTAGTCGAATCATAGCTGTTCCTGGTAGGAGGCACTGAATGATTTGACCCCCTACCATGTGACGAATTATTCCAACTCAGAGTACTCAGACTAATGGCTTTGTCAGAAAGTATATGGTATTTTGGATCATTGAGCCTTTCTTTGTAAAGAGAAGAATTTGAACTGGTCGCTCTCATGTTTGTGGTGTCTTTGTATGGTCACTTGTACTTGAATGTTAGTGCAAAGTAAAAACATGTGTAAATTTAACACACCTGCTTTCAACTAATATCATTGTACGGCAGTCAAATTTTTTTTTTAACACAACCGTTAACAATAAAATATAACAAAACATATACTATAGATAGAAAAGTAGATTTATAAAATCTAAAAGAAATAAAAGTAATTACAAAAATAAAATATACACAATAGAAAGAAAAATTAAAGTAGTCACATAAAACATGATTAAAAGAATGTAGCATCGTTGGTGGGTCAGACCAGCAGTGTAGTTTTCACACAACAGCACTGTCAATTGGTAGCCCTCGAATGGTCTGACTCGCCGAAGAAGGATCATCCTCACCCAATTAAGAATAGGTCATTGAGATTGACACACGGACACTTATTTTCGGGTCAAAACTTGCATATGTTGTCGTATGGATAGCAAGGCTGAATGATGTGTTCCACCTAATGAGGGGTGCAATTCCTTGGCTCCATATAGAGAGCATATAGGAATGCCATCTGATAAGAGAGCGTGCTTGAGCAAGGCAATGAGTATACACTGTTCCAAAACAAGAGGGCAAAAGTGATATTTTATTGTGTATAATAATCATAGTTTTGTGTAGTTAGCGGGTGTTCATAGTGAATGTATTTATTGGTGTGAATGTGGTGGAATATTGAGTACTCTATTGGCCATAACTACATTTGTTATATAATAGATGTAAAGGATGATGAAATATTGAGTACTTCACCAAACTAATTGAGTGAATGGTATATAAATAAGAAAGAATATAAGAATGAGAAAAATGAATGGGTTTGGTTCTAGGAACTGCAAGCGTTGGGTGATCAATTTATCTAGCTGTTGCCGGCACCCAGAGCTCAACCTTGTTGGCTGGACGGATAAGGCTGGGGTCTAACCCTGCACTGCCAACACCTGAGGTGAATGATTCTTGAGGTCTGCCGGTAATTTTTTGTTAATTCAAAAGCTAGAATTGCTGGTGGACTATGAGAAGTGATAGGCTCAACTCTTTTCATATGTACATACATGCACAGATTTAAGCTTATATAAATTCCAATCTTAGATTTCATAAATATTCTTTGTGCATTGTGTGGTTTATGTTTACAAAATATACAGTATATAATTCTTTATCTTATGATTCTTTCTTCTTGAAGGTGGGATCATCTCAAAGGTCATCTCAAAAAACCACAACCAGTTTTTATCCACAATGTTTCGGATTTAGTTTAATCCTCAGGTGAGTTAACGCCTGTACACAGAACAAATATTTTTTACATTTTTATCATCATGGTTATCATTGTTTCTTCACTACTTACCATGGTTAAAAAAGTGGTCGTCAGTCATTAATATTTTATAACAATTTATTTTTAAAAAAAATCTTTATCCTTTTATCATACCCCTGAAGCCCAAGCACACCGGTAACATAATTTGGTAACTAAATTCTAAAATATGATATTGCCTTATTGTGAGTAACCTCTTAGATCAAAAGACAAAATAGCTCACCATACTGTTGGCATAAAAGGTTTCTAAGTTCAAAGAAAAGATTTTTTGTGATGAACACTACCATGTCAATCTACTTGGACACCACTCCTCACTTTATAAGTCGCTGTGACTGAGGTGTTGGTATGAATTTGAATATAAGTTCACCTTTATGAGCTGAAACGTGTTTGACTAACCTCAAAAACCACACTAGCAAGTGCCATGCACGTGAAGTGCCAATAGAGATAGGGATAAAAGAGGCGGCCACAAGGACTACTGCACCTCAACCTGAGTAGATCTATTGTGCTCCTCTGTTAATTATAACTCACTGGCCAGCTTCAGGCTATGAACCAGCCTCCACAGCTTTGCCAGCGGTCCCTTGGTGTAGGGCCTTGCTTGTGGTTTTTCCTGTCCTAGTTGCAAGAACCTGCACCTATATAGACCTTCACAGAAACATGAAATGTGTTCTGCGGTCTCTTCCTCGTCCTGGTAGTACATGCACAGTGTTTCTTCCGTCTGAACTGTCCGTTTTTCAACCAGAATCCTGGTTCGGTCGCGGTTGCCTTCCAGTAATGCCTATGCTGAATCTATTATTGAATTTGGTGACATGATAAAGGTTACATCATCAAAGAAGTGATATGGCCCAATTTATGGTCCAGATGATTTTTTCGAGGTTCGTTGTACCTTTTTGGTGGAACTCTACCATCAAAGGTTGAATATCAATGAATCCTTTGGTTCCAACTGTTTGGGATATTGAACCGGCCAGGAATCGCTTTGGGTCTGACTTCACTCACGGGCTTTTGGGTTTTTGAATTAGTCAAAGTGTTTCAACATTGCGCCATCTTCAGTAAGGTTCGTAAGTGTTACAAGTGACCTTATATTCAATTCATACCGTCACTTCAGTCACCACGTAATTTGACACGATCCATTTGCAAGAGATCTCTAAAGCACCTCTGAACTTTTTGTATATGGTAATTTTAATTTTCTTCTGCATGGTGCATACTTCTGCTCAAAACTAAATTTTCTTCTGTTCACCTTTCATAAGATTTGTATCCAACAGAACTGGTTTAAATAGAATCATAATAAAAAGTCAATGTCAGGAGTGTTGCAACTCGATCGGTATTCAGGGTGCGGTGGAGACAATTGGCAAGGACAAAAGGCAAAAACGAGTGTCAAGAGACACGCTGCGAAAAGATGAAAAAGAAAAAAAAGTCGAGGAAACGCCGGCGGAAAAAGCCGATGGAGGAAAGCCGGTTCCGTGGTAGGACAGGTATTTCAGGTAACAGAAGAGTGGGGCTCAGTGCTGGCTGAGATGGACACGGGTGAAGACATCGCGACTTTTCTTTCTACTCTCCTCGTCGTCCTTCGTGAAGAAGCCGTTCTCGCGACACCACAAGAAAAACCCGTCGTCGTCTTCAAGCAGCCAGACCTGCTTCAGGTAAAAACTTTAGAAAAAGAGTTTATTATAATCTTTTTGGATTTTAAATAAACAACACATCAACGGAAAAAAGTTTTAAATAAATAAAAATTTATGTCACTATATTATTATATCATTTGAAACATGGCCTTCATTACATGAAATCATCAGAAGATTCTGGCAATGCGCTGTCTTTAAATGTGTTTTATTCTATTCACCCACATTTTTATTTAAATTTAAACGAAGAATTTGTATGCTAGAAAGTTAGGAGTAGAAAGTCGACACTTAAAGTTTAAGGATATTGAATGGGAAAGCAATTTACAGCGAATTTTATTCTTGCCGTTTCTATTTTGGAACACTTAACGATCTTTTAGTTATTAAAGCTTCTGTGATCCCTCTAGGTTCGATTTCATCGTTACTGGAAAAACTGAACGAGTTAAATATCTATCAAAAAATCTTACAAGTGGACGACCAGAGTTGGTGGGTCACGGATTTGGACCAAAATTTTTGGTGATTCTACATTCCAAAATATCGGCCAATTATCCGCGACTTGACTAATAGGCGCTGGTTACACCAAAACATATTTTTTGAAAGTTGCAATTTTTTAAAAATATTTTTATTTCGCCGTTCTACTTGCTCAAATCAACTGTGGGAATACATCATTTTACATCATTTTTTATGTAGAGTGCAATAAAGATATATTGAAAGCTATCAAAATTTATTAGTCACATACGCGACTTCACAAATAGGCCTTGATTTCGGAATTTTTGTTTAAAAGTTGCAATTTAATGTTTTTTAATATTTTATTTCGCCGTTCTACTTGCTCAAATCAACTGTGGGAATACATCATTTTACAGCATTTTTTTATGTAGAGTGCAATAAACATATACTAAAAGCTATCAAAATTTATTAGTGGCATACGGACTTCACAAATAGGCTCTGATTTCGGAATTTTTGTTTAAAAGTTGCAATTTAATGTTTTTTAATATTTTATTTCGCCGTTCTACTTGCTCAAATCAACTGTGGGAATATATCATTTTACAGCATTTTTTTTTTCGAATGTAGAGTGCAATAAATATAGTAAAAGCAGTTTATCAATAACCAAAAAATTTCTAAAAACCAAATATTTTTCAAGTAAACAATGTCATATTTTTTTCTTGAAACTAATATGAAATTGCATTTTAGCACCACTAGAGACCCATAAATATAAATTTTTTGTTAAATTTTTGACCCCTTAAATTTTTCCGATTTTAACATCAAAGGGGCCATTTCAAAGAAGAGGAAACTAGCTTTTTAACTACGTATGTACCATTAAAATATTTCTATAAGAAGGCACAAAAAATAACAAAATTATTTGTAAGAAATTAACCTTTTTTAATTGAAATAATAGTCCGATATTAATGTTTGGTACATTTATAAAATGCACATGATTAAAACGAATTATCAACCATGAAAATAGGTCTCCTCGGTTTTGAAAAAAAATGATGTGATATTTTGGGTTAGTAATCTCACTCAGACAGAAAAGTTATTAGAAAAATATCCCTCAAAAATTAATTTACAACGATTTACGTGAAAATCTGTATCTAATGGTTTTTGAACTCTTGAATCACGATAATGAGGTTAAATCTAAGTTTTGACCATTTTCTGACCTACTTTTCTTACAGAATGTTTATTACGAGATGAAAAAAATGGAGTATTTTGTTGATTTATTTTTCTAAATCATACCAAATGATAATCCATTTATGTTTAGTGGTCTAATTGATCATATTAATTATTTCAATAAATTATTCTTTTTATGTAAGGTCTTGGTTTAGATGAAAAAGTTAGTGTCTCGATCCGGATTCAACCCACAACCTTCAGCTCAATAAGTTACTCATGATAGCTCAAGTGGTTGTACATGTAGATGTAATTTCAGGGTATAGTATACTGCGCCCTTTAAGAGCTATTGTATCCCCCGTGCTCTGCNTTGGTTATTTGTTCCGCTTTATCAGCCCAGACTATAGCTCCGTATGTAAGTAAAGTTCTTACTATTATGGTGTACAGTGTTATGTGTGTCCATAACAGGGTTTCTGGCCTACATCCCCAGTTTCTCCCTGCTATTCTTGTGCACACCATCAAAGCTTGTGTCGGCTTTGTGATAATGGAGCTGAGTGTTTCTTGAATGTTAGTGTTTTATCTAATGTGATGCCCAGATATTTGACTTCATTTTTGATTTCTATCACAGTGTTGTTGAGTTTGATTTCTTTCATGTGATCTAGCTTCCTTTTCCGTGTAAAAGTGACTATAGTTGTTTTGTTTGGATTAATCCCCAAGCCTGCACTTTTACACCATTCTTCTGTGATTTTCAGTCCCTCTTGGATTATATCGCAGAGGGTAGCTCAAGTGGTTAGAGCAGTGGCGTATTGAGCCGAAGGTCGTGGGTTCAAATCCCGCTCATGACACTAACTTTCAAGTACTTCTACTTCTACTATATGTCTTCATTCTTTAATATACATACAAAGTTTACAATTCAGAAATATGTATTACAAAAACAAAAACGTTCCTCATAGTTTAAAATCCGTCTTCTGAGAATTTAAAAGTATTTATAATTAGTATGTACAAAATGAATATTTACTGTCTTCAAAAATTACTTGATAAATTTCAGTAAAGTAATAATAAAACATAGTTGAAGGATAATAGCAAAAATATAACTTTCAAATATACATCACTTATTTATGATTACCTATAATGCTCATAACTCAATCAATAAATTAAACCAAAATAAAGAAATGGAAATAATAAATGTAAAAGTAATTTATAATAAATACTTAATTTTCCTCTTTATATGTTTAACAAACTTGCCAGATGACCTTATGTAATTAATTAATTTTGTATTGTTATTATTTTTTCCTGAGGATTCGCAATAGGAAAGGTCATTTCAACCCTCAGGGTGTTAGTGTTTTTTTAAAATAGCCCATTTGTAAGTATGTCGGGTTCAAATGAATGGCCGCTGAATTTGAACCCTGGCTGGGGCATTTACACAGGGATGAGTGCCATGTCAATGCTTTAACCGTTGCAATGCCCTCTTTTATATATATTTTTTTTTTTTTTTTTTTTAAATAATTTAAACCTTTCCTTAGTTGTACTGACACTAGAATAATATTAAATAAAAGATAATCATTTGTTTATCTCTGAAACCAAGTTTTTTAAACATGTTTTTACATTCACATAGTTTACTCTAGTTATCCGAATTTTTCTTAATAAATACCCTAAATTACTTGAAAAAAAGTGGCATTGTTTTTCTTTGGTTTTTCCCCAAATATTTCCTAATAATCAATTTGATTGTTTTTATAAATAAAGAATAAATAAAAAAATAATATATATGTATATATGGTTTTTAGGTAACAATGTATAAAATTACGTGAAAAATACTGATTTTTTTAAAACAATCGTATGCAACAGCTGAGGTCAGTCCCTTACCCTCAGGGTGCCAGTGTTTTTGAAAATATATATTTATATATTCGAACCAGGGTCCTTTACAGTGATAACATGTCAACGCTTAAACGGTTATGGCCACTGATGCCCTTGAATTACAGCCTTATTTCTCTTTAAACGCAAACAGAAGTGGCCATTTTTATAAAATTAATATTTGGCCTGTTGACTGTTTCAGAAAGAGTTGAATCTAACATTGGATGAAACATGCACAGAAGAAGAACTGCTTTTAATATGCAGAAAAGTAGCAAGATACAGTGTCAAAACGAGCCATCCTTACTTTCTTAACCAACTGTATGCTGGTGTTGACAAATACGGTCTTGCTGGAGCTTTGTTTTCTGAAGCTCTAAATACAAACCAGTAAGTTTTTGTACATATGAACCTTTTGGTACAGGTAACAAAACACAAATGTGAACATTTCTAAAAGAAGTAGGGGGAAAAATCAGATTGCCTATACATATTTTGGTATTTATAACGTATGTACTGATAAAAACAATTTCAGGTATACGTATGAAGTTGCTCCGGCATTTTCTCTGTGTGAAATGGAAGTTATTCGAAAGTCTTTAAAACTAGTCGGTTTCACCCAAGGCGATGGAATATTTTCTCCAGGCAAGGGTTAAATTCTCAATACTTTGAATAGGATTGATTAATGTTTTTCAACTTTTAGGAGGGAGTTTATCTAATATGTATGGGATTGTATTGGCGAGGTATCAAAAGTGTCCGAACGTGAAGAAGTCTGGCATAGCTGGAATGAAACCTTTTGTCGTTTTCACATCAAAGGATGTAAGTGTGTAAGTTATCAGTTTTTTTTTAAATTTTAATACCTCGGTTCCTCAAGGCACACTACTCTTTTACGAAAGGTGCTCATTGGCTCGGTATTGGTACAGACAATGTCAAAGCGATTGAAGCCGATTTCAATGGAAGGATGATTCCCGAGAAGATAGAGGAGGCCATCAAAATGGCAATCAAAGAAGATAAAGTGCCAATAATGGTCAATGCCACTGCTGGCACAACAGTTCTTGGAGCCTTTGACAAATTCAATGATATTGCTGATATTTGCAAAAAATATGGTATCTGGATGCATGTCGATGTGAGTGAATGCCTCATTTTGTCCGCGGCTACACTTTTATTATTGGGGTTTATTTTACAGGCATGTTGGGGAGGAAGTCTTTTATTTTCAAAGGATTATCGATATAAATTAAATGGCATTGAAAGGTTACTTACAATTAATCTCATTAAATAGTTCTGTATATAAATGTAATAATTTCTTTCAGGGCAGATTCAATTTCATGGAATCCACATAAAATGCTAGGTGCACCATTACAATGCTCTATGTTTCTTGTGAAACACACGGTATTATATTTTATAATATGATTTGCTTTCTGTTTGGCGTCTACTGACTTTTCTCCACCCTTAGAATTTACTTAAAGAATGCAACATGGCCGGGGCCACCTACCTTTTTCAACAGGACAAAATGTATGATGTCAAGTATGACAGTGGAGACAAATCGCTTCAATGTGGAAGAAAAGTTGATGCTTTTAAATTTTGGTCAATGTGGAAGATCAGAGGATCTGATCAATTATCTCACATGGTTGACAATGCCATAAATTGTGCCAAGTAATTGTCAGCAAAAATCCCCCTTTCTCATTTCACAATTCAAAACATTGTATTTTAAAGGTACTTTTTAGAAGAAATAAAAAAGCGTCACAACTTTATATTGCTCCTTGAGGAGTTTGACACTTCAAACGTTTGCTTCTGGTACATCCCAGAACGGCTCATCGGACTGGAGAAAACAAAAACCTGGTGGGATGAAGTCAACCAGGTCAGTTAGTTCAAAGTGAGAGCCTGTTCGTTTCAGTAACTCTGATTATGATTTTAGATTGCTCCAAACCTAAAAAAGAAATTTGTCGAAGAGTCATGCCTCATGATCGGGTATCAACCCCTTGCCCACAGGAATTTGAAGAATTTCTTCCGCTTAGTCGTGACATGCCACCCTGTACGTACCAAGGCCCACATGGACAATATTATACAAATGTTTGAGCGACATGGCAAAAATCTTTGAATTTATACACCTAACAAAATATTTATAAAATTATATTGTAAATTCTGTCTTGATTGTTCTAACACAATATTTTGTATATTGTCATGTTTTCAGTATTATATCAATTTATCTCTTGTTCAAATGTTATTTCATGAAATTACTCAAAAAATCAAATTTTGAATTCAATATTATGACATTGATTCATGTAATTTGAAATTGACAAAATTACAAAAATAGAAATTGAAGACAAGAAGGGAAAAAGGAAGTGAAGTTTCATACTTATACAAGCCAACAAAAAAGTTTTGCACAGTATGAAAAAACAAGTCAATTGTTCAGTTACATTTTACATGAAACGTTTAGTAGACAAAAAAAAGAAAAAAAAGGAAAAAAGAGCAATTTTCACAGACAGTAGAAAGCAAAAATAATATGAAACTATCCATTATGGAAGGTGGTCAATATTGTGTCAATTGAAAATAGTGTGAATCAAAGTTGAAATAATATACATAATACAAAATGACTTATCAATGTGAATGAAGTTACATTTCCACAGCCTCTCTTTATAAAACAATTGAAAACTGGGGAGCCTCAGAAAAGATCTGCCAATGGGTGTAAGAAGGCCTAAGGAACAGGATAATCACATCCACTTTGAGCAGTGCAACCATCTGGGCTAGGATAGCCAGGGGATGCCCGGGGGGGGGGGTCTGTCTCATCCCTACTGTGGAAAACACTGGAAGCCAACTACAAACACCGGAACAAGGCTATGCAGACAACCTTGTCATAATGGTAAAGGGCCACGCAGTTATTGTAATGGATTACATACAACAAGCCCAAAACCTGTCAGCCAGTGGTGCAAAATGGAGGAAGTATGTATTAACCCCCACAACACCATAATGATTCCATTCACAAGGAAGAAGACAATAGGAAGCCTAAAAGCTCCGTCTAAACTGGACTCTGAAGTCTGATCCCATTTTTCAAGGAAGCTAAATATCTAGGGTTCACACTAGACCAGCTGCTTATATGGAATTACAAAACCAACCAGAAAGCCAAAATTGCCTGAAAGAGGTGCAAGCAGAATGCTCTTCACCAAAAGCTGGGGATTAAACCTCAAAATGACCCTATGGCCGTACACCTGCATCTCAAGACCAATACTGACATATGAGGCTGGTGTGATGAACCAAGACTTTGCAGGCCAAAGCGATTTGGCTATTAAATGGCACCCAAAGACAAGCTTGCCTCAATGTCACTGGAGCCATAAGCACATTTTGTTAAACCTAGATAACATCTGCAAGGATAAGACATGTAAATAAACAATGGAAACTGAGGGAGGAGTTACAAGCAGATGTCATATTAGGCATGCAAATCGATGCCTTTACTCCAAAAATCAGCTTTACTTAAAAGTTCAGGGTAGTAATACCAGAATGGGAAGAATGGGCCAAAGAAACACCGCTAAGGCGAATTCCTACTATACCAAAGACTTCAAAACGACAAGACATTGGGGGGTGAAGTCTTCAGGATGAATCCAAAAGCAGAACAAACAGGTAAATATGCTGCAGTTTTCCAGTCTGAAGTTGGATATGTTTTTTATACGTTTTTCAATAGTATTCGGAATGTACAAACATTAATTACTGTCCCCCGTCCGGAAATAGTCATATTGGGGGGGGGGGGGGAGCACAGAAATCTTCCTTCACGTGATACCACTCTCCCAATTCTTTCCGCTAAAATATAGTTGACCCACTCTGCTTTGCCTTTTTTCTTATCTTCGGCTCATTAGTGAAGGGGATTCAAGCGCATAAAGGTAAACGAATTTACTTGGAAGGGGCATAATTATTGTACTTCCAAAAAAACCAAGACAAAAAACCACCCCCATACTATTTGCGGACGCTTGCTGCCTCGTACGAAACTCCTTTTAGTGAAGGTCGCTTGGGAGATTCCACGCTCGTCCCGCGATCATTTTTAGCCCGAATACGCTTCCAGTGTAGATCCAGCCTAAACGATTTAACCGGGGAACACACCCGATGCAATGCTATGCGACGCTACCCAACGCCTTGTCACGTCCTTGCAAGGGCTTGCTACATGGAAGGTGTGTAGATTTCACTGAGGATGATACTGCATCGGTTAAATCGCTGCGCCAACAATGGAGTTGTCCACCGTGTTCGAGCTCCAACAGGAAACTCTCACCCACGAAGCGGTCGGTAAGCTCCCCGCCGATCAACAGTTCTGCCAGCATCACTGATACTTCCTCTTCTATTCTTGAGGCACTTACCCTTCTAGCCCAAGAAATTTACGAGATCGAGGCCTCCATCAGTGATGTCGACAGTATTAAGGTGGACATCAGGGAAATTAGATCTACTCTCGATAAGCAAGCCGCATTGTCATTTGAAAACTCTGATCGTCTAACAAAGATTGAGGAGCACCTCGAAACATCGAAGAAGAGGTTCGAGGAACTCCCAAGAAAACTGCAACCTGAAAACTCGAATTTCTAAACTCGAAGCCCTTCTCAACCACTCGGAACAAGTCTCTAAATGTAGATCGGTTGAGATTCGAGGGATACCGGTCAGCCCAGGCGAATCCCCGTCTTTACTCGTGTCTCAAATTGGGTCGGGGCTGGGACTGAACCTAAGCCCTACCGATATTGATATGGTCGAACGCTTGAGACCTCGAAAAGATGATCTCCGTCCTCCCAGCATAATTGCGCGCTTCACGAGGCAAACGGTGAGGGACGAGCTGATCCGGCTCCGGAGGATCTAAAGGGACTTCTCCACCAGACACATAGAATGGGAAGACACGGTGAACCACCCCATCTATATCAGCGAGGATATGACTTCTACAATTAAACATTTATATTGGCTGGCTAGACAGTGTAAGGCAGCCGGGAAGCTGAAATATGTATGGTTTTCCAATGATCAAATCAATCCGATGCCGAAAAGGAGACGGGCAGCCGGTGTTCTTCATCAGCAAGCCCTCGGACCTAGACTGCTTCAGCTGACCTCGTCACCATCCTGATGTCATCCATTTTTGTAGTTGTTTACCGACCCCCCTCAGGTTCCATTCCCTAATTACTCCCTTTCCACTCTGTACAACTACTCTCCTCTATATTCCAACGTGATCATCATAGGTGACTTCAACGCGAATTATTCCTCTGCCTCCTTCGACAAAAGACTCCTTGAAAACCTATGGTTCTCCCTTAATCTCTCATGTATTCCATTTAATTCCACACATCACACTGCTTCTGTATCCACCTGATCTTAAGGTTGTGGATTCCGCCGATAAAATTCTATCCTCCTACCAACACCCTATCTCCTTTCTCACCTCCCACGACTTGATCCAAATCCTATATAATATATACCCCACGTCCCGCACCCAAAACCATAAGATTCCGTCAACTTAATACCCTTTCATTCAAGGTTTTGAGGCCAGATCTGGAGTCGGTCGAGTGGGCCAACGTTTACCTTGGCTCATCCATCGATTTCTTGGTCGGCTTCCTGACCTCCAATCTCCTCAATATCCTTAACAAACATGCCCCCCTAAAAATCCACACTATCCGTCGTCCTCCTGCTCCCTGGTTATACGACGAAATTAGAGACCTAATTAAAGGACGGAAAGCGGCAAGAAGGCGCTTTCGTCGAACCAAACTTCTTGAAGACCACTCTTCCTTCCGAGCCCTTCGCAATAAAACCCAATCCTATATCCGTCGGGCCAAAGCCCTTCATTACCAAGAGGCCCTCTCCATCACTCTTGATCCTAGAGTGAAATGGAAGCTCCTTCGTAACATTGGCATATGTCGCCCACCCAACTCACCATCTTCCTATCCTGTCTCCCCTGAAGAATTAAACACCTACTTTGTCTCGTCCAACTCTTCTTCATCAATGCCTGTCCCCATACCCCCTCCCTCTGGACCTTCGTTCAGTTCGTCTAACTTCTATTTCTCCTATCTAACCCCAGCCGAAGTCCTCGAAGCCATAACCAAATCCCACTCCAATGCCATTGGAGTTGATGGCATCGCTATCCATTTTCTTAAACTCTGCCTCCCAATATTACTACCTGTTCTACTTCACATCTGTAACTACTCACTCCAAAACTCTGTTTTTCCGACAGCCTGGCAAAAAGCCCTTGTCCACCCTTGTGTCAATAAAACCCCCAACCCATCCTCCCCTACAGACTACCGTCCCATTTCCATCCTCTCAAACCTGTCCAAGCCCCTGGAAAATTTAGTCCAAGCACAAGTCTCCAGGCACCTTGAACAGTCCCATCTTCTCAACCCCCTCCAATCTGGCTTCCGCCAAGGTTATCCCCTCCAATCAGCACTAATAAAAACTACCAGTGACCTCCACATAGCAATGGACCAACGGAAAGTTACTATACTTGTCCTTCTTGATTTTTCCAAAGCCTTCGATTCTGTCCCTCACTCTTCTCTCCTCTCTAAACTCGAATCTTTTTCTTTCTCCGCCAGCACCATCCGTTGGTTCCACTCCTACCTTACCAATCGCCACCAAGCTGTCTCCTTTCCCAATGGCCTTACCTCCTCTTTCCTCCCTCTAAAATCTGGGGTATCTACCTCCCCAAGGCTCTAGCATCTCTCCTATCCTTTTTTCCATTTATATCAATGACCTACCCGACTCCATCCAGTCCTGCAACTATCACCTATATGCCGATGACTCCCAAATATACATATCCTTCCACCCTTCCGATCTTCACTCGGCCATTTTCAAAAACTATGAAATAAATGGTTAGTCAAATTTTATGAGCAAAACCGTGTAAGAAATAGTTCATTAAATTCATTATATCAAAAAATGGTATTCCGGTGTTTTGATCAATTTTCAACCAAACCATTAAAATTATTATTGTTATTATTTAATAAAAAGTAATGAATTTTTGATCTAGATTAGTTTGATTTATATTAAAATAAGTATGTTGTAATTAATATAATGACAATGATACATGTAGTTTGAATAAAAATTTGAGTGTCCGGTTCTTTTGTCTTCGACTATACTCGATGCTACCCGACGAAAATCTGGACAGTGAGGATCGCATAGCGTAGAGTAGGGTACCGTTGCATAGCATTGGGCAGATGTGCACGGGGGTAATACAATCTTATGGATAATTGGACTTTGGATTTGCGTCGGGTAGCATTGGGTAGCGTTGCATGGCGCTGCATCGGGTGTGTTCCCGGCTTTAACAATGTGATCAGTTATTCGGAAATCGTGAAATGCGGTTTGGTGTGACATAGGTTTCAGAAAAACATTTTCTTTATCGTGCCAACGTTTCGATCTTTATTGAGATTATCTTGAGGGCTCAAAGTGTTTGTTTTCTGCGTAATTGTGCCTTTCTTGCCCCTCTCAACACGACACGCCAGAATGGCACAATTACGCAGAAAACAAACACTTTGAGCCCTAAAGATGATCTCAATAAAGATCGAACGTTGGCACGATAAAGAGAATGTTTTTCTGAAACCTACGTCACACCAGACCGCATCTCACGATTTCCGAATAATCATAGACTAACGGACTAATCACCGCACAAATATGATCAGTGTTGAGGACACATTGACAACACTGACTGCAGAAGCCGAACATACTAAACTGAGAAAATTCAAGGAAACTTTAGGCTGGAAGGAAGCAAACTATACGCCGAAATTAAGAGGAACGTTACAAGGAATTTAAAATTAT